GCAGCTGCTCCTCTTGCCTTTTGCTAGGAGGGGCAAGGGGGGCAGAAGTGCCCTTTGAGTTGTAAAATACTACCTGATAAATCACACTTCCAGTGATGCTTCAGTTTTGGGCAAAATCATGAGGTGTGATCTTGAATGTGACCTGATTAAGTGTGTTTGCTTTCATTGGCAAGTCAACACATAATTGTAGGTTTATATCTTCACCGGGATCTATAGAGGTGCCCCTTTGGTGTGCATTTGCCTCCCTATGCCTTTTTATTGTTCTGGCGTCCCTGTTTGTGCAAATATAGATATGGAAATAAGTATTTTGTTTCCTTATAAATCCTGAAATTACTGATCAACAAAGGATTTTTTAATATTGTACATCAAACATGTCCTTAACCATAAGTATGGTCCCCTCCTCCAAGGTCACTCCCCACATCGCAAGGTCAATCCCTCCTTAGGTCACTCCATGTATCCATTTTACATTAAGATCTCATTTTTATAGATCATTTGCTTCAAAAACTGCTGTGAATTATGAAGAGCTAGCCATTGTCCATATCAGTGCCACATACAACAACACTATCCTGACAATAACAGATCATGCTGGTAAATCTCTGTTTTGTTAAATAACCCATTGAGCACTCTACCCTTGATGAGTAAAATTGTCTGGCATTAAGGCGGATTTCCAGTCCTCGCATGAAGCTCCTCGCAGCTCGCTGTGATCGAATGATGCATGAGCACTTTCATCCAATCATAATGCTAAACAGTTCATTTTAATTAGATGCAAGCACTCGCAGCGAGCTGCAAGGAGCTTCGTGAGAGGACTGGAAAACCGCCTTTAGACAGAGTAAAATAACAAAGTAGGGTGCTTTAGGATGCAATGCCACTTGAAGGGAATTGATCAATTTTGGATTGGTTTATTTTAGGCAGCACTTTAGGATGGAAGTCTGCAGTAAGTATAGAGGCATTGCAATTTATTAGGCATGGCTGACATAAATATTTTTTTATGAAATTACTTACCAAATGAGTATACCTCACAAATGTTAACAAAATCAATTATGTGTAAGGTATAATTATTACAGTAAGAAGTATGATCAACAATAATCCTTTTGCAGGGGAGTGAAGGATTCAAAAATGCAAGAAGAGGGACTAATTTTGCTGGTCAACAAGCTGCAATTGCAGCTGCAAAGGTAATTCATATGTTTTCAAAATATATAGACACGGCACGAAGATATGACTTTTATCTTCGAGTGGTGAAAACACTATTTTTTACGAACGAGGGCAAGCCACCATGTAATGTTCTTTCTGTTTATTATATAGTCCCAAGCAAAAAATTGTATAAATACTAAAAGTCACATGATTAATATCTCTACTGGTGAAGATATGGAAAATATCTCGCTGTGTATTTTTCAGTATCTCGCTCTCTACTATATAATAAAACAGCATATAATTTTCGTACTACACAGTTTACTGTTGCCAGCTGATTCAATTAAAGTGACACTCTCAAAGTCAAAACCCTCAACCTCTAAGCGCGAATAAATGATGGATGTGCATGCAATAATGTAATTCATACTTCTGACATTCCATAGTTACAGTTGCTGCGTCCCACAAGTTGTTTTACTTTTGCATAAAAAAGCAATTTATAATTTGCAAATTTTTTCGCTTGTTTAACCCAATTCAGTAGCACACCCGGCAAAATTCATGGGATTTTATAACTTAAAGTTGAAGAATGTTGTTTGTGAGCATGCTTAACTCCTTTGGGAATTAAATTCACTTGATCGATTAGCATAAATATTAGACATATACTTCAAAAGCAAAATATAATAACTAGATCATGCTAACATGCATGGATAAACAATCGCGTAATAATACACGCCCATGGTGCATTTTGCGCTCAGAGGTTGACTGGTCGAAGGTTTTGACCTTCAGAAACAACCTTAATTGAATTAGCTGTATTTGAAATTCTACTTGTGTTGATGGATTGTGGCTGTAAGTATGTAAACAGTACCCACAATCTAATTGTCATGTGGTCTGGATACTCAATTCAAAGCATCTTTAAAAAGCTACAATTTTATGTTAAGAAAACATCACTTGTGCACAAATCTTTTGAAATTTTGCTGATTTAGAATTCAACTTGCAAAGAAAAGTTTTGAGTTTCCAAACCATATCTATGTCCTATTAATTGTTTGATTCACTATTGGAAGTCAACTGGATGTCAATTTTGTAAACTTCCTTCCATTAACAGAAAGCTTTAGATCTTGGAATAACGCAAGTCCGGGTAAAAATGAAAGGACTGGGACCAGGTCGCAAGGTAAGCATTTACAATTATTATTTTACTGTTCTTTGGACTTAAATCACAGTGGTTAGTCCATTGAGCATCATGCAGCCCTTGCCCCTTGAGAGTAAAATCATCTGGTGTTAGACTGAGTGAAATAACAAAGTAGGTCGCATTGGGGTGCAGTGCAACTTAATGGGTTAATAAACAAAATGTTTTCCGTTAGGATTTTTTGCTAGGTCACTTATTGAAGTCCTGTTTTACTTTTGTGTTTTTTAGTCTTCAGTAAAAGGTCTTGAATTAGGAGGACTCAGTGTATTCTCAGTCACAGATGTTACGCCAATACCACATAACGGCTGTAGACCAAGGAAAGTGAGACGACTTTAGGTGAGAATATGATGAAGAAATTGATGATGAATTCCAACTCCTCAAGGGAACGGAGTTGTGTACTGTACAGTATATCAGTCCGACGGACTATATTAGTCAGACATTGTCAGATCTCCAATTAAGGGTGAACGCCTAAGATACAATTCAGCCATTCTGAAGTCGGTTGTTGAAAAGTCCGCATATACAGTGTTCCTAAAGACTGTCTGAATGAAGACACGAACTTCGAGAAACATAAGAAGAAACTGGTTGCTTATTATTAATTTTATTTCAAGTGAATCATTAGAGTACTAATTGATGAATTATAATCCAAGGTACAGAATGTTGCGAGTGACCATTTACTGTTAAATGACCTTAAATGTAACGCCAATACACCCTTCAGGAAAGTAGGTCACTTTGGCTATACGGCCTCGTTTTCGAGCGAAGGCCCTTCAAATTAGTAGCACTACTAGTAGCAAAATACTGACATTAATATTTAACGAAGCCTATTCCTTCGTAATTGTCGCTTTTTAGACCTAAACTGCTATACCCTTATGTTACCGAAGCTTGTAATACATTTGCGTTCAACACTCTGCGTCTTTTTACGCGCAAAATCTATTTGTCGAAATAAAAATTTTATATTCAAATGCCACGTTGCGCAGCGTTGAAATATGTTGGCACATGCGCAGAAACGCCGAACAGGTCTTTGCTGGAGGTCTAAAACAAGTGAAGCCAAGCCCGGCGGAAGAATCAGTCGAAGGAGCGAGCGTCGAGGAGCGGTTCAAGGTACCCTTGTATGAAATTTTTTCGAGGTTTTTACCGTTAATTTTCACGTTTAGACCGAATTTTTTGCGTTGTTTTTTTCTTAGAGTTTTCTCACTTAATGGTGAGCCGTTCTATAGGGTCGATTCTTTGCGTTCTGTTGATTTTTGTAGCTTTTTGTTTAATGTCTAGCTTGCATTTGTAGCGAAGTCGGCTTGTAGTCCCAAGAGTTGTTGTCGAAGACGGGAATTTTGGGCGGCCATTTTGACTTCAATGCGACATCATTTGAACGCAAAATTTTTTTTAGGTTCTGAGGAAGTGCTTCGGCCTTCTTTGGGTCGTCGAATTTCAGAATTCGTTTGTCTCCTTCGAAGAAACGCTTCTTTAAAGCTACAAAATGACCGAGGTGAGCTTAGAAAACGACACAACCATGTTTGTCGTTTGAAGATTGAGCGGTGATGCAGCTCGAATCGGGCAAAGAAATCGTTTAAACAAAGCGAACAAGAATGCCACGTTATTTTACCGCCTTTGCCTTCGATCCTTCGACAAAAGCGAACGAATTTTAGAGCATTTTCCCTTGGGAAAGAAGACATATTTTCGCTTCTTCTTCGACTTATGCGTCGACCATACTGAGCCAAGCAAATAAAGTCGATTTTTCCCTCAAAAATCCCGGCTAAAATCATTTAAATTCGTTCAAATAGACACATGGTCTTTGTTGAATGCCTTCGTTCTCGTTTCATCGTATTTCAACCGCGCAAACGATTTTTATTTCAACTAAAATCTAGTCAAGTCACTTCGGTGAGAACAGAAATGCACACATGACATTGCCAATATAACCCTTCCACAAAAACCCCAACTTAAAACACTGGTACACGATCAAACATACACATTTTTAACTCGTGTGTTTTTCAGATTTAAAAATCAGTCGGCCATTTTGTATTTTATCGTCTTCAAACAACAAGCAGGAGTTTGAAGGCAAATTGAAATGTGTAGTGAATAAAGTTTGTTTATCCCTTTGATCGAATTAGATACTTTGTCCGTGATAAACAAATGACGATTTCATGCTTCAGAACAATTTCAATTCCCATGGGGATTTAAAAACGTTCGAGAACGCCAAAATATTCGGAAATTTCCTTGTCTATTTCACATGCACGTGTGCTTTTGTTGCGTAAATATACAAGCGTTTGCAGTGATTTATAAACCTCCTAGATCAAGCAGTGCGAAATTGTGTAAAAATACGAAGCAAAAAGACATCGCCACACTGAGGAAAAGACTTAAATTCAAGTGGTATTATTAGAGAAAGCAAATTTACACGACAGACATTCTATTTAAAGGAAGGCATAAAAGCCGCCATCTTGAATTCTTTTATACAACAGTCAAACTTAAATGCCTTTTGTTATCAATCTGCTTTGGTTCATAGGGAATATAAAGCATTTTCAATATTAACTCGCATGTACTTGAACCATTAGCAAATAGTATTATGATTTTTTTTATTTCGGGGCTACTAAGTTTTTACTTTTAAATCTTATATTGCATTGCACTGATTGTGAACATACTAGAAGAAGCAATTAATATTGTGTAATGAATAGGGGTACTATGTAATATTATGGGATATATGAATCATTGTATTATGTGCCAATATGTGGTAATATATTTTGCAAGTTTGGTTTTATTAGAGTGATATTTTGTTGAACAAATTTCTACCTAATGTTGCAAACAAATATATACTATAAAATAGAAACCAGATTTCACCTAATTTAATACAGTAACATATACAGTGACTTGAGAGTATCAGGTGTGGTTTTTGAGTCAAAAACATGAAATGTGTAGTGTAATATTCCAATTTATAAATGATATAACTATTACTGTATTACTGAATTTTGCCAATTCAATACAACCTTTTGATAATTCTGTCACAAATACTTCCTTGGCATAGGAGCCTCGCTCTCATGAATCGAGACAAAAGGCTATTTGCTCATGATTCACAAGGACAAGGGTGGACAAGGCTTCCAGGCCAAACACAACTATCAAAAGGGTGTTTAATAATTGATATATTAATAACTATTTGAAAACTCCGTACAGGCATAATTTAACCCATTAAATTACACTGTGCCCTTCACTACT